GCACTACAGACAACCCCTACACTGTTGTGATAGCTTTGCAAGGTTGTTTAAGACAGATCAGTTATGCAGGGCTTCAAGGTTTTCCAATAAGTTGCTGTGCCTGGAGTTCCCAGTCCTGCCGTAAGAGAGGCTTCAGAAAGCCAGATTATGATCTTCACCCCAGGTGTGCAAGTCCTTCCTCTGCAGGTATTCCTGCCTATTTCAGTGGAGCTGTGTCGCAAGAGACTGTTGGAGATGAGCAAGGGGATAGGAATCTGCCTTCTTGGATCCATGCAGGGCATTCCAACACCCCTTTGGATGCTTCCAGCAGATAGGATCTCATCCTCTGTTCCTGTTATCGTTGTTGGGACCAGTTTGTTGTTTGGGTTCTTGGGTATGTTATGGAGAGCTTTTGCTCCTGAACTTTTGTGAGCTTCACCTGAGAGGGCAAATACTTGCCCATTGTGTGTCATCTTTGCTCACACATGTTGGCCCGTGAATTCTATTTTCAGAGTGCAAATTAAACATGCCAGGAGGGAGTGGGAAGTCATGTAAACAGCTGTCCTGGGGGTACAGTGCCATACTTGTGTTCTGTGGTGGCCAACTGCCTGCCCTGTCTTAACTCTTCCATTCCCTATAGCCTCCATGTGTGTAAATACTCTGGCCTTGGAGCATCATCCAGCAGCCCTCAGAGTTCTTGCTGAGAATTGGCATCTTCCTTTTCCTTCTCCTTGAGCTTCCCAACTACCCTGTGCATAGCCCAGTCCTGGATGGAGTCCCCAGTCTCATTTCTTAGCTCGGTCTCCCCATTTCCAAGGATATTTGAGTTTTTCCATTTCTTTCTTGTGGTTTTATTGGGAAGGGTCATGCTGTGATTGCAATGTAAAGGTGCGTTTGTGGCTGAGTGGGGTCTTATCCTGCCAGATCACAGAATGGTTTGGCTTGAAAGGGACCTCAAAGATCATCCAGTTCCAACCCCCCTGTGCCGGGCAGGGACACCTTTCCACTAGAGCAGGCTGCTCCAAGCCCCATCCAGCCTTGCCTTGAACACTGCCAGGGATGGGGCACCCTGTGCCAGGGCCTCAGCACCCTCATAGTAAAGCATTTCTTCCTTATAGCGAGTCTAAATCTACCATCTTTCAGTTTAAACCCATTCCCCCTTGCCCTGTCCCTGTGTGCCCTTGTCCAAAGTCCCTCTCCAGATTTCTTGTCAGCCCTTTTAGGCCCTGGAACTGCTCTAAGGTCTCCCCTTATGGAGCCTTCTCTTCTCCAGGCCAAACCAGCCCAGCTCTCTCAGCCTGGCTCCATAGGAGGGGTGTTGCAGCCCTCTCGTTTGGATATTTGGACTGGGGGCTTGATCCCAGGGCTCCTGAAGGAACAAATGTCGGGGAGCACCTGGGAGGATTCCCCTGCACCACCTCCGAGCCTCGCAGCAGCGTGCGGGTGGCTTTCTCCTCTCTCTCCCCTCTGCATTTTCAACTCCGACACAAGCTCGGGTGAGGGAGGTTTCTGCTTCTGCTTGCATCACGTTCCCCGAGCAGTGACGCACACGTGTGCTTTTTTTTGCCACATAAGTGGGTGGTTTATGTGCTGGGAGGGAATGATTCATACATTAGCTGGAACCTGGGCCTTTTCTCTGTTGCTCTAATGATGTGTGAAGAGGAGTCGGTGTCCTCTGTTCTTCCTGGCCTTCGAAAGGGCAGCTCCTAGAGTAGTTACGTTTTCATGCTGTAGCTGTGGGTAGTCCAGCCTTGCTGCGGGTGAAATGTGAATCCTGTAGCTACAGTTAGGGAGTTAACGGCCTTCAATATGAAAATACTGCTTTTAGCAGATTTCTATCACTCAACTCCAATTTTTGGAGGTTCTTGCAACCAGGATGAGTAAGCACAGAACAACCATCTTAGAATCATAGAATAGTTAGGGTTGGAAAGGACCTTAAGATCATCAAGTTCCAACCCCTCTGCCATGGCCAGGGACACCTCACACTAAACCATATCACCCAAGGCCTCGTCCAACCTTGGACATGGGTGTCCCTGGGAAGGAGAGCAAGCAAGTGTAGATGTCTTGTGACTGTGGCTGGGGCCAGAAACTGTGTGGGGCAATCCCTCATTGTGCTTGTACTAGGCTGGCTACACTAACAACGTGACCTGAGGGTGTGCTGGGTGAGGAAAGGCTGGGAGGAAAACTGAGGTGCAGGAAGCCACGGGGGAAATGCTTAACAAGCAAATTGTTTGTTTGCTTTAAATGATAATAGGTGAGCAAGAAAGTCCTTTGAAAGCCACTGGGCAGGCTGATTCCTCCCCTTGTGTTCTGATGTGAAAAAGCTCTTGTGCGGTGTGGAATGTAATGAAGCATGGTGTCTCTGCAGAGAAACCAAGCACAGCAGTCAGGAGTGAGTGGAAGCATCTGCAGCACAGGGAGGAAAAGCCATTCTCTACTCATAGCATCAGTTATTAGAAACCTTGAGCATCCCGTGGTTAATGAAACCAGCTCATCTCATCAGCCACGCTTCAAATTACATCTACAGAGCTTGGCAAAACCAAGTATTCTTCTTTGTGGCTGGAGTGGTGTTATGAGACCCTGTCTTATACAACCCGTTTTTACTGCATGAGTTGTGACATGGCTTTGGCCTCGGTAACCCAAGTTTTGTATTTAAATGAGGAGGGATCGGATCTTGTTCTGTGCAGGTTGGTTTTAATGTGAAAACTGTGGGCTCCAGATTTAGAGCAGACCTTGAATGCTCATGGGTCAAGTTAAATTTTCCAGGTTTTGCAATTGGAAATTCGTGCAAATCTTGCCATGCAGATTTTGTTCTGTTTGGTTTGGTTTTATTTCTACTCTTTTATTTCCTCAGTAGAATTAGAAACTGAGAAGCCTGGGAAGACATGGGGCATTTTCTCTTGTACCTTCTCAGAGAGCTGTATGAAGGGACTTCTTTTTTACGTGGATGTAGTATGACTTTCTCGGCAAAGAGAGAAGTAAAGCGTTAGAGTCGCCTTGTAATATCTGGTCCATTAGATTCAAGCTCGGGTGGGTCGGTGCTTGCTCCAGCAATGCCCCTGAAGTCATTATCAAAGTTGGACCCTGCTGTTACGTACTGAAGTGTGTATAGGTCTCCTCATGTGCATGCCTCCTGTAGCAGATGTGGTGTTAGAAAATATCCACCTCGGGCAAAATCATTGTGAAAGAGGTTGCCGAGGGCAGGCCATGGATCTTGAGGAGATACTGTAAGCATTTATGAGGCCCTTTGCCCTGTTAGCACACCCTCTGGTGAGCACCTATCCGATCCCTGTGCATATGCCAAGCTTCACGTGTTTTGCAGCATGAGGGCCCTACTGATGTGTAGTGTGCACATTCCTGCTTTGGATGATGATGATGTTGAATGCTCAGCCTTGCTTGGGCCCAGCAAACATTGTACTGTAACTTTATTCTTAGCATTCAGCACACACCCTGGCTATTTTCCCCTATTTCTAATTTATGAAGGCACCCATGGCTTCAATGCTAGAAGCTTTTGAAGGCAGTCTAGCTCTTCTAGAAATGGTCATCTTGTTTAGAATACAGTGCTATGTATTAATACTCTTCTTCTATCTTATGCAGAATGAGGCCAGTCATGATTGGAACAGTTTCTAGTAATGTGATGTTTTCCTCATCATCTTCACACAAAAGAGTATATTTATTGGAATACCCTGTTTTGATAGGACTTTGTTGTTGTTGATCCATTATTAGTTTATAGGCTCTTTTTTTATATACTGACATTGAAAAAAAGCAGGTTATAAACTGCTTCAGTTTTAGGCAGCCTTGAGGATGGAGTGATGCTGCTAGTGATCCCACAAATGAATGTGCAGCCACAATGGCAAAACCAGCAGGGCTGATCTATTCCGCACCCTGTTCTGTGCTCATTCTGTTTGCATTGGTACAATATTGCAGGAGTCTGCCTGAAAAGTGATACATTCTGTGTTGACATGACTAAGATGCAAAACCTCAACTCATGCAAGTGAAGGACACTTGTAGTATTGGCAGAGCTACATGGGTTTGATATAGCTGATGGGTTTGACTGGATTCAGGTTCTTCATGTTCTGAAATAAGAATTGTGCTTGATAAAAGAACCTGAAAGTCAGTGAAGCTCCCTCTTAAAACAGTCCTGTCCCAGATCCATTATAAGTGTATCCCTTGTGTATCTTGCATGTTAAATTTAGCTTTGTCTCTCAGTGGCTTAACTTTGCATGCTTGCTTTGTAAAATGTCATCCCCTTCATTATTTTCTGCTCTTCTGTTTTCTGTGGACTTTGAAGACCGCTGGCTCTTTTGGTCACATTCTTTTATTAAAGAAAGAATCTATTTTCATAGACAGTGGAGAGCAGGCTATTTAATTAGAATATCCTCCTACAAAGGAGGGGTTTCTTGCAAGTAGCAGGATTTTCCCTCCCACTTGGTATCCTTCATGGTCAAGAAAAAGTGTTTTTCCAGAGTAGTGTTGGATTAATTGCTGAGAGAGTTGTATATACAAACACAGCTTGATACCCTATCACTACTTTGATTTCAGTGTGGGGTGCAGCCATTGAAACTCTCTGACACTGAAATAACTATGACACATCCACATGTATTGTAATTGTTCCAGCTTTAAAATGGGTTGTTACTTCATCCCAGAATACTTGTCAAGTAAATTAATTTAGATTGAACAAACAAAACTTTTATTTTTAATATTTCCTGAATTCCAGGAGTAATAGGATGCTATTTTGCATTGATTCTCTCACCTAAAGCAGATCCCATTACACTCAATGGGGATTCAGGGAGTCCAAAGGCTGACCTGTGTAGAATCGGAGCCCTTCCCAGCTGTGGCAGTGCTCTCCCAAGTCCCATTTTAAAGGAGCAAATAGACATTAAAGTCTGGTCCATTTATTTAAATCAGTTGACGTAATGGATTCATTCATTGCTGAGGAGATTTACTCTTGCAAATTCTTCTCTTAGGTCATGAATTGCACTTGAAGAAATGCTTTTTTCTCTCTCTTCTTTACCTACCAGGAGCAGTTCTGAGCGGAGGAAGGAAAAATCAAGAGATGCAGCAAGATGCAGAAGAAGCAAAGAGACCGAAGTTTTCTATGAACTGGCACATGAACTGCCCCTGCCCCACAACATCAGTTCCCACCTGGACAAGGCATCCATCATGCGCCTGGCAATCAGTTTCCTGCGCACTCACAAGCTGCTGTCTTCAGGTAAGATCTGGCCATAAGAAGTTATCATTGGTAGTTGATGGTGGCCTGGTAAGATTGTATATGTTCTTCTCTGAGTACAGGGTCCTAAGGTGAGAACAGGACATACTGCTTGTGTTGTAAGAATACAACTGGATTTAAAGATTGGTTGGTGGTTTTTTTTTCCAACAGAATTATGTGTATTTTAATTGGGTTAGCAGGCACACCTTCCACTAGACCAAGTTGCTCCAAGCCCCATCCAACCTGGCTTTGAACACTGCTAGGTTTCTAAGGTTCTCTGGGCAACCTGTTCCAGGGCCTCATCACCCTCATAGTAAAGAATTTCTTCCTTATTTCAAATCTAAATCTCTCCTCTGACAGTTTAAAGCCATCCCCCCGGTCCTGTTGCTGTGTGCTCTTGTAAAAAGTCCCTTTCCACATTTCTTGTCAGCCCCTTTAGGTATTGGAAGTTGCCCTAAGGTCTCCCCTTAAGGAGCCTTCTCTTCTCCAGGCTGAACCAGCCCAGCTCTCTCAGCCTGGCTCCAAGCCAGAGGTGCTCCAGCCCTTGGAGCATATTCTTGGCCCTCCTCTGCACCCACTCCAACAGGTCCAAAACATCAGTGATATCAGTCATATAAGGTCTTCATTACCAAAATAACAACTAGTGCAGTTTTGCCTCTCTAAAATAAAACCTCTCAAAACTCTTGAATGTGGTTTATTAAGCTCAATTACAAGATTTTAAGCTTTTAAGTTTATTCAGAATTCAAACATATGCCTTAAGCTTCCATGCTGAAACAAGTAAATTTTGATTTGGCGTGGCAAATGTGTTTGTGCCAGCACATTCAAAAGGCAGCTGGGAGGTTCTGAAGGTCCAATACTTTCTTTAAAGGAACTAATTGTTCTTGCTATATGCTGGCAATGAGTAGTAGGTGTTTATGACATAAGATAACTAAAGCAAACAACTTTTAAAGACTCAACATGAATGGACTCTATGTAATCAGAATCTTGCTCATGTTCTAAGAAATGTGAACCAGGGAACCAGCATCATTTTCATGTGAAAACAGGCAAAATTAACAATATTCTTATTTTGCACCTGTATTTGAATAATCAGTTTGATGGAAATCTATGGTTTGAGTAACCTGTAAGATCAATGCAAGCAACTGGTGTTTCTGGGGAACTTTGGCACAGTAAGTATCAAGAATACGTTGACCAAACAATGCCTGCATTGTTTGTGAAAGGTAACCCCCAAATTTCATCTTTTCCTTAGTTAATGGCAAAACTCCCAATAAGGTCACGATTGCACTTCCTTTCCTTAGAGAAGTTGAGTCATAACATAACAATTACTTTCATAAATGCTATTAGGAAGTGTCTCGTTTTGTGGACAGCTATGCTGTTGGGTTGTTGCTGGGTAGTCTGAAAGATGTGACAAACTCGATTCTACTCCTGAGCGCTCCATAGTTTTTGTAGCTGCTTTGCCTTCTGCTAAAACTATTGTATCAAATGTGGATATTTCCATCTTAGCTTATAGAATGTGGCTTTTTAACATGTCCTTCTGTGGAAAGAAAAGTTTATTTGCTGAGCAGTGTTTGGAAATCATCTCAGATTTCATCATGTCATTAATACTGGAGAAGTTGCGTAAAGAGATAAATGTTGTTGAAAGTGCCGTACACCAAGCCAATGTGTTGTTAACTTTCTCATAAAAACAGAGCTTTGGCTATTCAAATATTTATATGGTATGAATTAGAGACTGACAAAGCACAGGAAAAGCAAACTTCTGAAGGGCTGTGGAAAAAAAAACTATATATGTGTGTGTATATATATACATATAATAGTTTGATGCTGTCATCATTGGGAAAATATAATTGCTCACCTGCAAACTGTGAAGATTAAAGTGAACTTTTCATCTACATGTGTATTAGTGAGGAAAAATATCTACAAATAGAACATCTGTTTTAGTGCTTCTGCAAAGGCTTAGGCTCATATCATTTGATAATAATGACAACTCAGTATATGTTTATAATATTCATACATACACATAGTTACATGATTTTTCCGTGACAGTGATTGAAAAACAATGTGATTCATGTAGGTGATTTACATTTTTTGGAAGTACTACCAGAAATTATTTCCTTAGATGTAAATCCGATGCACTTCCTCAGTCTGAATATTAATGTGGAGTAAGTCCTCTCATTAACAGTTGTGGAGTTAGACAAATGCAGATTTGTCCATGGGTACATGGAGATGTAGGTAAGGGTTTCAAAATCTTCAGTGCTTTTATTCTGAGGAACTGGAACTTAAGGTACTTTAAAGGGATAGATTTTTTTCTGGATGATTTTTGGTATTATTTGCTCATGAGAATACACAGAGATGAAAGAACTCAAGCCAGAAAACCTCATCTGCTATTTGTGTTCTTCTCATTTAAATTAGATTCTATATCTCTGATTGTGGGCTTCTGAATAGTGTTGGTTTTTAAGGACACTGGCTTTCACTACAAGGCCATCTGATTTACTTCAAGGAGATAGGTTTTTGATACAGCTTTAGTCTCACAGGTGAAGGGGTTTTACTGCCCATACATTTTGACAAGAGTGTGGAGCAATATGGGAACTCTGCTTGTGTGATGCCTGTCCATGCTGTTCTTGCTCTTGCTCTGGACCCTTTCTAAGCCCCAAGCAAAGCTGCCCCCCATTCCACTTCCATGTTTAGTAGACTACAGTCTGGCCATTAATTCAGTGTTGCATTTGAGGAGCCTGATTTGACTGATGACGACCGTGGGGGGTACTGTGTCATCTCTGACAGGTGAACTGGGAAATAGGGAGGTGGAGGAATGCAGTGTGCATGGGAAGCAAAGGTCTGCCTCAGCCTGCAGACCCCCGCTTTGCTTTATGTTGTCTTCATGGAAATGGTTTTGGTTTATTTGGGCTACATGCTTGGTGTAAACTGGAGTTAAGTGGGAGTATTTATCCTGTCATTAATTGGGACATTAAAATAACATCTTCTGCGTTTGTATGTGTATATATACGATGTCATTAAATAAGCTTGCAGTACAGCTTGAAAAATGCTTTGAAGGGTAGTAGAGAAAAAAGTTACTCCTTGATTAGCACTTTCCTCATGTATTATTTACTCTATCAAAACCTACTGGTAAACCAGGTTTTATTTTATATCACTGGTTGGCCATGATTCTCAAATGTGAGCCCATCTCTTCGTTTCATGGCAGTTTTGCCTGCAGTGGGGAGAGCAAGGCCCTTCCCAGGACTGCATCCTCATCTTTCTGCAAGCCGATGCTCCAGATGGGATTTCAGAGATGGCCGTAGGCAACGTGCCAGCCTCAGTCTGCTGGCATTGAGTGTCTCATACCCCTTCCTATTATTCCACGACTCGGAATAGGGCTTTTCGCTTGTGTAGCTCGGGCTGTTTTACTAGCTGTGTCTGCATAATGATTATTTATCTGTCAGGAAGCCAAGACCTAGGGAAATCTATGCCCACATTCTTCCAGCAGGTGAATGGCAGAGCCTGTGAATCTGAGCCTTCATTGAGAGCTCTCCTGCTACGTGCCTCTGAAAATCTCAGCTTCAGGGTTGCAGGGTGCACATCTCCTGCAGGCATTGCAGGGCCCGAGCTTGGCCCTTGTATCCTATCATAATAGGAAATAGCTGGTTGTATATCTCAGAGTTCAAAAGGGTAAAAAATACCAGGTTTTGCTTTATAAAAGTTGTTGCTTTACTTAGTAACACGTTTCCCTTTGATTTTCACAGTAGGCAATTCTGTGTGGGAATGTTGGAGAGGAAGCCTTTAACATTTAGAAATGCAGGCTGTTCGTCTGACGGCCTGATTGAGATTAGTATCGCAGGAAGCAAACTGAAACAATAGCTTTATAATTCTGTTTCCATGTTGCGCACAGAACAGTACAGGGTACAACTGGAATGCAAAGTAGAAATATCATTTAATTATGCTCACCTTAAATATTTTTCAAGATGTCCTCTAATTCTGTTGGCATAATACATTTTTGCCATCATGACATTCAAATGTTCGGGATAAATTTAGAACTGATCTTTGTTTCAGGGAAAGGTTTTGATCCCATAAAGTTGCTGCTGAAAATAGACAGTTTGATGCTTATCGCTAGTGGACCTTTTGGGTCTTGTGTCCTTTAGTGTAGTCAGAAAAACTGATAGCAGTACTTGTTGCCTGTTAGTCTGTAGTCTAGCTAGTAAATTAGCCTAATGCTTTTTTGGGGATTAATAGATGGGAAGAGAGACATAACTGTCTTTTGCTGAAGAATGGCTGTCTTGGTTAACAGCTAACATCATTATGGTTGTTAAGGCTGCCTCAGATAGTCTCTTTTTGTCTGGATATGAGGAAGAGAATCCACTTTAGTAAGCCTGTATGGGCGTTAGCATGTGGTGCCCATAATTTGAAGTGTTCCTTTGGACCACATTGATGCTGAAGGCATTACAGGAACCAGAACTCCTTGGTACCAGTGAGTTTCTGTGTGCCAGCGCTGCAGACTTTTTTAGTCAAGCTAATCAGGCAAACATAATTTTATCAGCTCTCTTTCATCCCATCCCAGTGGTGTGGTCACCAGGGTGTCTTTTCTGTGCAGAGGTCCAGCAAAGGAAACTGGATGGGAGTTGCTCCTGTGCAAGCAGACAGCAGCAGAAATGGGGAGGGAACAGGGAAGCAGACGGGAAGTTGTTTGGGAGAAGGGAGGCCATGAGGAAGCCACTGTGAAGTTGTTTCAAGGGAGGGAGACAAGAGAGCCGGAAAGCCAGCAGGGAGCAGAAGGGAAAAAATAGCTTTTCTCCAGGCTTTTAAGGGAGAGGACAAGCTACAGGGAGAAGTGTTGTGGGCATTGTTTTTGAATGTCTGGACAAGCTGCATCTAATCTCAGGCCATTGTGGCATAAAACAGTGCTTTAAAAATAGCATGGCTACTTGTTTGCTTTTATTAAATTGGAAAAATAGCTTTGTGCCAACCGTGCTGCCAGGAATGGGAGTGGAGCTGGGTGCTGAGTGCTTCGGCTGCTTAAAGTGATGTCCCTTCTTTGGGAAGCTGTGCCAGAAGGTCCCAAAGGGCACTGGAAGCCTGGTCTGATGGGGTGCTGTGTCTTGCTGTTCAACGCTGAGGGCTGTAGGACTCAAAGCAGCTTCCCGGGAGCAGCATCTGAATGATTTGGCTAGATATAAACTCTGCAATTAAAACAACACTAACATAAGTGTTTTCTTTATCAAAGTTGCTTGTGCGCTTGGAGATAAGAGCTCTTCAGGAAGCTTCAAGTTTAAGAGTAGCTTTTTCTTGGTGTATCTAAACTGAAAGCTTTTATTGAACACATTGAAAATATCCCCTTGAACAGGATGTACTGCCCTGTCAAGACAAGAAGAGAAAGGAAAAAAAAACAGTTGCTTTCCTTTGATGGAAAACAAGGAACCAGGAAGAGACAAGTCTGGCTCAAGGCTGCTCTCTCTGGGGCAGGATGGAGCTGCTGTTAGATATTCCCTAACTTTTGCCTGCCGGCATCAGGTGGTGTTTACAGCCCTTTGTGGAATGGCAGCTATAACCTGGTGTCTTTTATGCACAAAACATAAAGAACTTTCTGGTATTTGTAAGATCCAGGATGAGAGGCAAAGCTATGAGAATACTGTGGAGAAGTTGATGTGGCCTCCAGTAGAAACCTTTTTTAATCACTCTTTACCTGTGAACTGACCAGAAAAGGCCCCTTTGAGTCAGATCAAAGGTGTTGAGGGGAGTAGAAGCTGTTTATACCTGAGCAGTTATTGCTTGTAAGGAGACCCCGATTTTTGAGCCATCAGGCTCGTTCCAAGAGGTTGGACTGACGGAAATGAGCAAGCATCTACGGAAAAAGTGTTCTTAAACTTGGGAACAGTGCACATCCTGACAGTGGGAATTAATCAAAGCTTGTTTACAAGAGCTATTTTTAGCATAAAAGGTTATCATAAACACTGCAATAAGCATTTGCCATTGCAGTTCAAAGTTTCTTGATGCTGAATAAATTCCACTTTGGGGGTTAGAAAACTTCTCAAAGTGGAGTTTACCAAAAAATACCAAACTTTAATACAGGCAGAGACATGGACTGAAAAATACTGCATCAGAGTTTGATGCAGACTAAGAAATGCTGCCTTGGGGCAATATGAGCAGCGGGATGACCCATCAGACTGGGACATGGGGGCACTTGCTCTGTTCTTAGTTCTGCTGTAGCTCTGGCAGCTGCCCCAGGGAGGCCAATGCGCTTGTCTGAGGTTCTCTGACATGTTTCAGCATCTCCTGAGCTCACCTAGGCAGAGATTCTTCCTCCTTTGTAGGCTTCCCAGTACTACATGAGCACAGTCTTGGCCAGGATCCATAAATGTAACTATAATATGAACAATAATATCACAGCACTTCATTCTGCTGAATGTGCTATTAATTTAAACTGGCATATTTGCAGTCCGGTCTCCCTGCTATGCTGTTATGGTGCCTGCACTGAGATATTCCTATTAATAGAGGGGAAATGGAAAAAGTTGTAGGGAAAACAAGAAGAAACACGTTTTTATTTCAGAATTTAGTTAGCAGCTATTTGGAAAAGCAATGCTGACAAATGGGAAAAAATAAAACTGGGGGTAAATGGAATCTACAGTTGCCTTTCTTTAAGACCTGGAAAATTCCAGGCAGTCTACATGGGGTGCTGTTATCTGGCCTCAGACCTACTGGAAGACTGAAGTTCTGCCCCTGCCTCCTCATCCTGACCTGCTTCCGTTTGGTCCCAGCTTTCTCAAATGTTTTCCATTTGAAGCCAGATTTTCTTGTGCTAGTGCTGCAGTCCAGCTCCGAGGTGAATTAATGAAGAAAATTGAAAGCTAAGTGAAAGACAATGGGGATTTCTGGGAGCAGCCTGCATTTGTTTCTTGTCTTGTTCTTGTCTTTATTTGTTTTTCTTCTGTGAAATAGGTTCTTTCTAAAGCAAACTAGGTTTTTGTGAGTGGCAACGACTGATGTATCAGTCTCCTAATGTGTGTATATCCTCTATGTATTAGTAGCTAGTGATTTTCACAGAAGGGGGACGAGCTATAATGCTGTAACTGCAGCCATATAAAAGGTTCTTAGTATAATTATAGTAATATAAATAATAAGTTACCTGACACAGGGCGTTCTAGGGCTGCCATGGTGATGCCCAGCGTAGTTCTGTGCTATGGACTGATGATCTTGAGGTAGCTAATATGCTTTAAGGGTTTAGCACAGATGACACCTTATGGGACTGAGTGTTTGCAACCACCACAAAGAACCTGGACACAGCAGAAGCTGTGAGCACTTTTGGTGCATCCCCCAGTGCTTGAACATCCCTGGGCAGGCTGTGGGGGAGATGCTGATGAGGGGCAGGCAGGGAATGGATGGGCAGCAACAGCACAGTGGTCCCTGGAGGTACTTGTCTTCTACCTTCATGTGCCTGATAGTGCCTACATTTTCCTCAGTGCAGCTGCTCTGTAATAATAGAGCATGATCTACAAAGTACTACAAGAAACCTTGTCTGCCAGCTCCCATTGCCTGATGGGGATGCTGAAGGGGGAAGGAGGAGATGCAGTGGGGTTACCAGTGAAGCTGGAGGGTGTCTGCAAAGCACCTTGGGTGTTCTTTGGGGTTATGTGAGGGGGGTGCACAGCAGCACAAACCCTCTTCCCTCCCTCCTCCCAGTCCACATTATATATACCTCCAGCTGGACAAAGGTAATCGTAACGAAAACAAGTTGAACTCTGATCCCACAGAACCCTATAACCCTGTGCTTTAAAGCTGGCTATATCTTTAAGTGCTGTGCTCAGCTAGGACATTAAGCGTTTGAACCTGCAGCCCTGATGCGAGTGATCCTATGTCCTCTGCCTGTATTTGTATAAGTAATATAATTTATATACATGGAAAAGCAAACTTTATCATCTGATAATACGAGTAAAGTGTTTGTCTTTCACTGTTGGAGGCATTTAAGAATACAAGTGCTTTCAATAGCCTTCCTGCCTTTGAATGGCCATGTTTTGTTAATGCGAGCTTAATGAGCTGGGGGTTAAAAAATGGAAAGGAGGGTCTGGGGTTAGAGCTGAAAAGTCATTTTCTTCTCCGAACCCACGCTTGGCTGATTGTCTTGGGCTACAGCCATGATCCCTGCTGAATAAACCATTTGTTTGCTTCCGGAAAAGTAAAAGAAGACCCTTGACATTCTTTACACAGCAGAAACAAGCTTGGGAGCAGATGGTCACTTACCTTTTTTTTTTTTTTCCTCCTTCCCTAAATGTCATTATGGTCAAAGTGCATACTATTCAGATGTATTATTGTGTATTTTCTGCGTTTTAAATGCTAGCCCTGATGTAATTTCCTGAAGTCAGTTGCTTTGTACTGAGGAGGAACTGGCTGTTGCGTTTGCACTCAGAAGCGCAGCGCAGGGACACGAAATGATAAATCCCCAGCCTGTGGTGGCCATCCCCAGAGAGCGTCTTCTCTTCCCTGCTACGGAACAGTCGCCTTGAGAAGCAAAAGGTGGCAAAACAAGTGCTCCCAGTGGCACTGGGGCTGAGTCCATTTCTTCCCTTGCTGGCACGATGGGAAATGGGCTGCTGCTGGGGAGGAATGTTGAGATGCAGGATGAGGATGCAGCAGCAGCCAGCATCGTTTCTGTCGCCGCTCATCTTTTCCAAACAGTGGCTTGGTGGGTTCTGCACTGTAAGTGCTCATCCCTCTGCATTTACTCACTGGCCATCCTTAGGTACTAGCAGATGGAGTTGCAGGAGGTTTCTAGATTGAACTCGCCTTTTAATCATAATTCACTGAGACTTCAAAGGAAGAACTGCATTTGTTTGGCTGAGCCTCTTCCCTACCCCAAAAAATGCCAACCCCAAACCACTTCTAATAATGTTTTACAAAGCAATACCCCATTCCTTGTTCTAGACTTCTTCCAAAACAAGTATTTCAACAAGGAACATGAAGGGAAATGATGAACGTGCATATGGCCAAAAGAATGTGCACAAAAGATGTGCTTCAGTGTTTAGGTATCTAGCTGTTATGTACTGAAAACACATCTTGCAGAAAGACACTAAAGGTGAACAGAGGGTCTGTTGCACTTGCCAGAGTTCAGAAAGATATCTCCTGCCTTGCTAGTGATAAAGGCATCCCTTTTGTACAGTGTTCAGAAGAGGGTTGTCTTGTCTTGGTTGCCCTGTACCTGGATGTGTTTGTGTTGACAAAGGCTGGCTATGGTGCTGAAGACTTTACATGCCTTTTTTTTCCCCCCAGTATGTGCTGACAATGAGAATGAATTAGAGGCAGACCAGCAGATGGACAACTTGTACCTGAAAGCTTTGGAGGGATTTATTGCCGTGGTGACACAGGATGGAGACATGATCTTTTTGTCAGAGAATGTCAACAAATACATGGGTCTTACCCAGGTAACTTGTTCCATAACACTTTCCTGTCTTTGTAATACAATTCCTAGAAACGAGGCCTATGCCTAAATGCAGAAAACCAGCTGTGTCTTGTTGCAAAAAGAGACTGGAAATAGAATGTCTCATTTCTCAGCAGGTACCATGTACATCAGACAACAGTGGGGGGGGGGGTGTCCCCCTCCCTTTCTATCAAAGTCCTACTGTCTTTGGCAACTGCAAACTTACCTTCCTAGATATTACCATGGAGAGGAGAATGGGAGTTTATTCAACTTATGCTTTAGACCCTGAGACATGGGGATTGAGCTGCTCTTTTATGTACCCCCACTTTTCTGCTTTGTGGATTGGGGGTTTTCTCCTTCTGTGCTGAAAGCAACCGGTGGTGTTGGCTGTTAACTGCACTTGCAAATGCAAAGATAAGGAATTGCTCTGGGGAGAAAATGAAGTTCTGCATGGGATAAACAAAGGGAGGGTCACAGGCTTTGTGTCTGTGAGCATTCTGGTTCTAATGACTGGTTTTATCTGAATAGGTGGTATTTAAAACCGGGTAAATATCATCAATTGTTTTTATTTGGCTAAGTGTAGTTCTTACTTCTGCACAGGTGGAATTAACTGGACACAGCATTTTTGACTTCACTCATCCATGTGACCACGAAGAAATTCGAGAGAATCTCAGCCTGAAAAACGGTAATAATGAAAATACACAAGTCACCATTTGCTTTTTAAGTAACCAAATGAGGTAACTGGCTAGCAGTAGAGATGTTGGTCACGGTAAAGGGAATTTTCATTCCTAGAGTAATCATTAACTGTTATTCACTGCTTTGCAGATTTCTTTTGTTTTGGTAGATATTGCTTAAAAATGATAGCACCAAGTACTGTTTGTTCAGTGTTTTCCTTTCATCAAGTTAAGGCAGGCATAATGTTTTCACTTGTAAGGCTTTGCAAAGATTTATGTGCTAAACCTAAAGATAGGTTTAAATGCACAAAGTCCTATTGAAGTTCCACTTAAAGTTTTAGGTCTGAGCTCTACAAACTGCTCTGCAATGGTCCATGCATCTTTGATGGTCTCTGCAGGTAAATGATCTGAGAATTAGTCTGTTTTTTCTATTGAATCCTTCCTGCTTGTGAATAGAAGAAATCAAGAAGCAAAACTGAGAAAACCTATTTGCTATTTTCCTTATAAAGGTCCAGGCTTTGGGAAGAAAAGCAAAGAGATGTCAACTGAGCGTGACTTCTTCATGAGGATGAAATGCACTGTTACCAACAGAGGCAGAACTGTTAACCTCAAGTCTGCCACGTGGAAGGTACCGTGTTTGGGCCTTAATATAAGTGGTTTTGATTTGAAAAGACATCTTGTCACGTAGAGAAAGAACATTCTTAAGTTTGTTTCTCATTCAAAAATCCTTATTTCAGGTTTTGCACTGCACTGGACAAGTTAAAGTATATAACACTTGCCCTCCTCACAGTCTGTGTGGGTATAAAGAGCCTCTTCTCACCTGCCTTATAATAATGTGTGAGCCTATTCAGCATCCTTCAAACATCGATATCCCCCTGGACAGCAAGACCTTCCTGAGTCGCCACAGCATGGACATGAAATTCACCTACTGTGATGACAGGTAAACCCCACTGACCTTTTCTTTTCCATAGGTGTTTCTGTCTTTTTGACGAAAATGAGTAGTCCTTCCAAATGTCCTCCTGCATGGACCTGGTAAGCAAAGAGTAGGAGAAAGTACAGTCTGTTACCAAGGCAGCTATTCAGTGGCTCACTTAATCCATCTCAAATCTCAGTTTAGGCAAAATGGTATTTCTGCTTGTTTCCTTCTCGTGCTGAGTGAAGAATTCAAGTTCACTTGCAGAAGGCAAGGCAACTTAAAGCCATAAGCATTAGCTTCTTGGGTTTTAGCAAACTGAAGGATACACAGGATTTCTGTCTGAAACGACATGCTTTATACAAGGACTGTTTTATGGTTGGTTTGGCCCAGGATGCTGTTAGCGGTTAGCTGGAAAGTACTTTATGCTCTAGATTATCTAAGGATTGTTAAGGCATCCAGAGCATCTGCGGCTCTGGAATGGGCTTGGAGCCTCTTGCTCAATGAAAGCAAACCACTTTTGCTGGTTATCTGTCTGCTCCATTTAGTGGTAAAATGAAGAGGGGCAGAGGAGGATCTTGGATCAAGCAAGGGGCTGTGTGTCTGTACTCCTTGTGGGTTTGGTGTTTGTTTGGGTGTTTTTTTTAAGTTTGAGGTCATTTCTGAATGTAGTATGCAGTTTCCCATCTAATGAAACTGGTTTCCTGAAATTCAGAGCTGCTTGCAACCGCGGAGGTCTGCAGGGTTATCAGTGGGATTATACGTACGCTGCATCTTACGCAAAACCTCCCAGGACTGAGGTCTTGGTTGTTTTTTTCATCCTTCAAAGTTTTGTTTTTTAAACTTGTGCTAAGCAGGATTTATGATTTCAAAGAGTCTGATGAGCAACCATATCGGCTAGCAGCATATAAACTAGCAATGTCAGCAGCTGTGGATGGAAGCAAGATGACAAGTGTGAAGCTTGACTGACCTTCTGGCCTCTCTGAGAATATAGCCACGAGTGTGCTGTAACTAGAAATGCCCTCTGATGTAACTGCAATAAAACAGACTTTTTTTCTTGTTAATACTTTTAGGGTTGAAAGTATTAACACATCCTATATAAGCAATATTTACTAATATTTACTAATATTAATTGTATATACTATAGTATTAAGCAAATCCTATATGAATAGAATTTTCTGCTGGAGGACAGGAAAGCAACAATATGGTAGTAAGCCATTATTAAAGGCAATTTACCTCTGAATTATTAGGGCCATTCAGTGGCAGGCTAGAGGATTTTGTTGCATGGCAGCATTCACATGCATAAGCAATTATAAATGAGAATTAGAGGAACTGATGCCTATCCCATTAAAGATACACATGCTTATTTTAAGAAGAATGACACATTATGCCCTGGCTTAAGCAGTGGGAGTTGATTTACAGGGAAAACATTTCACATGGTGGAGATATACAACAGCTTCCTCTGGAGGATTTAACTTGAAGGGGATTTCAGAGATTCTTCTTTAAAAGCAGGCAATAGAGCAGCCCATCTTTGACTAAATAGTTTTGGTTGGATGGTTGGTTCATGTTTTATTTGGGATTATGATAAAGCTGTAAACAGCCAGCCAGAGCAGAGAAGGAAGAGACCTCAGAAACCTTCCAGGTTCTTCCCAGCAGATCCTCCTGGCTCTTGCTTCCCTCCCAGAGGGATGCTGATTTCTCTCCAAAATGCGACACATCAGTAGACACATAAAAATGCAAACGCTCAGCTGTTATTATCAAGTTCGGTGCTGCTAGACAGATTGCATTGAAGGAGCAGTTTATGCCAAGAATGTAAATCCAGGCTGAGGAAAAGCAGCCTGTGCCAGTCAGATGCCTAAACCCTTTTTGACACACTCTAGCCTTTCTGCAGCGACACGGCAGGGCTGACACAGCTTGGCTCTCCATGAGCGACTGTGTCTTTCCAGTTCAGGGCCCATTTCATCTGGGGCCGTGTGCCTTCGCTACAGGGCTTCTGCAGCAATCTGAGTGTCCTCTTTGCAGTTCATCTGGTGTGGACAGGTCTGCTTCCAGGGGGCATTAAAGTTCTTGGTGCTGAAGCATTCAGGTAAAGAAACTTAAGGATTTCTGAGGAAGTACCTTAACGAATGACAGCCATGCGTGGTCTTGCTAATGGAAGCACCCGCTTTCAGTGTGAAGCTGAAGTTGGGTACAAAGGAGAGCTGCCCTTGTACGTGAAGCTGGAATTTATCCTTGTGGAAAATGAGGATCCCATCTGTCATCTCTTTAGGAAAGCTCAGTAGTCTCTGTCTGTCACAGTGCAAGATGCAAAATATAAGCTGGCTACCTTTCAACACTTCATAAGGAAAGCTAGCTGGCTGGCATGAAGTGCCTTGATTCTCTTGGCTTTTCCACAGGAGCATGCAGAACAGATTCAACATGGCATCCCTCATTTTAAACGTGTGAGACATTACCCCCATATATTTTGCCTTCCAGAAAGAATTGGTATATGGGGGCCCATGACTGGCCAGTGGTTAGGTAGGATATGCTTGTGTTGTTAAAACGGCTTTTGCAAGGCAATGAGCCTGTAAAGAAGGGTTTGTGAGGTATAAACAACAAAAATAGGTTGCTCTGTTAAATGCATGCTTCAGCCATTACTGGAGAGTGGTTTAAAAATGTTCCCTTGCTCCACTTGGCTGAGTGGTTTACAGGATTATTTTAGCTGTAATACAGAAATGCTGATCAGCGGTACGATGCAATAATCCAAGTGAGGGTTTCGTTTAGCTGCACTATGCTTTTGTGTTGGGGAAGATCACCAGTGAGGGTGTTTTAGTCAGGAAAAAGGCAAGTATTTGGGTGAAGGTAACTTTATTAACTTGTGGCATAGCTGATGCTATGGGATCATGGGGCTGATAAGTGGACAAGAAACAGTGGCTCTATGGTCCTGTGGTGGAAAAATCCACAAAACAAAAGTGAAAACCGTATCTGAATTGGACAGAAAGCCCCGAAAGTACTTCAGCACATTAAGTCTTGGCCTTCATGGTTCATGCATAACAAAAGAAACCCATATGCGGGGCTTTGAATGGGACCAATGTATTGAAAACAGGGAGGTAGGTGACACTGTTTTCTCACCTTCATCCCTGTGACCTCTTAGGGAGGCTGGGGAAAGGAGAGGGAATTGCTCTTTGCCCACAGTTGCTGTGGGTAGCATGCGTCAGGTGAGGGAAGGATAAGGAAACAAATCTGTTCTGCATGGGGGAAGATGTGCAGGCGGCAGCGTCACATACCAGCTCGCTGGCACCGGCACACTGAGAAGCGTATGTTCCCCATTACCTTGAAGGCATGACTTGTTTTGGGGAATTGTATGTTCTTGGTTACAAGAAGCCAAATTAGTTATACTCTTTATTGTGTTTTCTTGAGTGGAACTTTTTAATGGAAGAGTTGAAGCAGAAAAAGGCGTGATGGAGGATGTGTGGTGATTCAGAATAGGGTGGTGCAGGAAGATCATAGAATGGTTAGGGTTGGAAAGGACTTGAAGATTACCTAGTTCCAACCCCCTTGCCATGGCCAGGGACACAACCTGCGATGTCCGTCCCTTGCAAAGATGCAAGGCCAATACTGTTGGTCCCAGTTAGATTTCTCCTAATATGAGTGTGTACACGTGGTATCCAGGCTGTGACCAACTGAAAGGAAACTGAGTTATGTCCCTGTAAAACAGAAATATGCAGGCCTCAGAACTTTGGTGAGGTTTAAGTCAGTTTGATGTTTGACCTGTATTTGGGGAATATTTTCAAATCAGGTGAGAATGCAAGTAAACATCTGAAAGGACCTCCTGTCCCTCCATCCCTGCTCGGGGGGAAATGCGGTACGGAGACAACAGTGAAGTGAGGCATTCTGAAACCGAAGAACTGCATTGACAAAACTGGCTTTTGGTTTATGTCCTATTTAAGGACAAAACATGACCAACTTCTTTTGTTAATAATGAAATTTAGGTAGACCAAATGAATAAGAAAGACGAAGTCCTGGTGAAGTTTTTCATGTACCCATCTAGACTTTGCCTAGCAGGGCAGCTACACCTGACAGGCCAGCTCTCCCTCTAAGGAGTGGATAGGAGTCCCAGGATTTTGCATTTTCTTTTCTTTGTTGCTCTGGGTTATAATAGAAGCAGCCATGAATATATCCAAGAGGAAATGTGGGTACTTGGCAGGACAGCTTTACCCCAAGCACCGTGGCTGTGTTGGGCTTTATGTTTTCTTTTTCTTTCTCTTTTTTTTAACTCATTCTGCTTTAAGTATAACTTGGTTTGTTTGTTCCCGTCAAGACCAGTTTAACTTCAATAACTTGGTAGCAGTTTGAATACAGGCAGACTTTGTTAGAAGATCCACACCCTCACACACACAGTCCACATGCAGCCCAATGAGTATACACCCAGCTATTTTTTCATGAGCAGTAAACATTACAGTGGTCTTTCACAAAGAGCCTGACTTCTCAGTCCTGATGGTTCCTATTTTAACTCAAGAAACGGTATACAATAAAAAGCTTTGTGTTCCTATAAAGAGACAGAAAAGCACCATTTTAAGAAAAAAAAAACCAAAATACTTGAAATAGCTCGTCTCATTAGGAGATGGAGCCTTTCAAGGAGCGAGCTCTCTTTGCTTTGCCGTGTCTCAAAGAGATAAAATGGGGCAAAGCTGTACAAATCTAGAAACAGGATTCAGATCGCTCGTTCCTCCATTGTGTACCTTAAGCACAAACTCTGCCTCTCAAAAAGCATTTAAGTAGCAGTAGCTGGGCCAGATCTGCTGGTAACATGGAGGGCTACTGCCCGCCTCTGCTGTGTTCTGTGGGATTTTGACCTCGCTGTGCATCATGGTGACCAGTTTAGCTCAGAAAGCTGAAGTGCCAGTTCGGCACAACGAAGATCCCCCCAAAGGTATTTGCGTTTTCAGAACAGAGGACAAACAGCTTCTCAGGCACCTGTCATCTCCAACAACAATTAGTATTACAAATGCAGGGGGAACACAAAGCCTACATAGCAGGAGCACCATCCAAAACCACCATACAGTTTGTTTTCCAATTTTGTCATTCCCCAGCTTGCACAAAGAGCAATTTTCTGTCTGGTGTCTGAGCAAAGTAGAGGTCTTGTGTTCTGGACTCAGTTTTGTAAATGACCCTTTGGTCCCACAGGGTGTATGTGTTTCTGTGTCTCTTTTAGTTACGTATTCCTTCTCCTCATAGCTCCGTAGGATGCTTTTTCCTTTGCACTTAGTCCTCCGTGTTCTCACTTAGCACTCTGTATTGCTGAGAGGCTCCTGTGGAAAGCATGTAGAATTTGGAGTGTACACCTCAGACTGATGCTCAGGTGAGGTCAGTGCAGGGACCTTTGCTGAAGCACACGCTACCTCCTGGCACCTCTGGGCGCTGTTCAAGCTCTTTGCTGTGGTCAGTCTTCCATCAAGCATCTCAAGATTGTCGCAGGACAGGGGTGATGGAGATGGACCCGCATCCCTAGCGTGTAATGCGGCATGGAAGTGGCTAACCTGGTTTCTAGCCCTGCAATGTCCTTAGCCTGCAAGATCAAGCTTCTCAGAGTCAGCAGCAGCAGAGGAGGAATAAAGGAGGATGTGATCTGCCAATTCATTCACCCCAAACCAATACTGCTAATAATTCCTGGAGAAGAGGGTATTGTTATCAAATAATGGTCTTTTAAAATATACTGAGCCAGTTTTAGGTTTTTTTGGGACGGGAGAAAGAAACATTCTGTATTTTGAAATAAATAAATGAATACAAAATCGATTCGCTCCCAGGAGTGTTTAAAGAGAAATGTAATCAGTCTGAATAGTGGTAACAGCTTAATGGGTTAGTGAGGAAGGGCATAGAAGCTGTTTAGCCATTTCTTTTATAAAACAGCTACTCCTCACTAGTAGATTGTGCCCAGTGCTGTGGGGTTTGTGGGTAATTCTTTGATCTCTTTACTTTTCTGTGTACTTTTTAGTTGGTTGTATTAAAAAGATATCAAATTGCCACTTGATAATGCTCATCCAAGATTGTTACATCTAATTAAATTTGATGTTGTCACAGCTGGATCGCACCACAAGTGGTTCTGTGCCATGGAATAAGGAAAAGTAATTTTATAGTGAGGGTGCTTGTTATGAGCAGCGAGGAGCACTTTCAAAGAGGAATTACAGGACTGGAATAGACAATTTTGCATAGAGATTGCAGTTCCTATATGATAAGGGTTAGGAGTCCTTCAGCCTGCCATAATGCATATTTTTTGCTTGCCATCTCAGTTTCACTGTTGATACCCTCGAAGGCTGTAATGTGGTTTTGGATTTGCATTGGTGCTGCTGGGTACATGATGCTGCTTTTTTTTCCATTATCTTTTATTTCCTTTTCCTTCTCCCTGCTCAACCCTCACTTGGCTCTCGGCTCCAAACGACTGGATTAAGAGTAAATCCTCAACTTCCTGAATTTTAAAAGCCTTCCCCATGTGATGAGCTCCAAACTAACCGGGATGGTTTTATTATACTATGCCATTATATAACCAAAGGCCATAGTTTCTGTTTTTTAAGGACTGTATATTTACACTGGTCCTGGCAAAAGCCTCAGGCTACTTATCCCAACGTGTCCCAGCTGACTGTGTAAAGGCAAGCAGCAACTGTATTTTGGGAGCCTTGCTTTTATTAGGGCTTCTTCTGTGTTTGGTTCTTTTTCTCCTTGTGGCTCAGCTCTGAGGACCGACTCGTTATGAGAGTTACTGCTTTTATTAAAACAGAAAAAGCCATTGTGGTTTCAGAGAAAAGCTGCAGATTTGGCTGGGGTGCATTCTAAAGTTGCTGGTCAGTGAAGGAGAGGCCAAAAAACCAGCTCTTTGGAAACCTGATTCTGTGATTTTCCCCTTTGTTAGGTTAACTGTAAGCATAAATGAAACTGTAAATACAAACAGGAGAGTAAGTCTTCGGGGGGAACCTGGTAAAGCCAACTACAGTCTTTGCTCAGCTAAGCCATTATAAACCCAGGTTTGTTCTGTGGAAATCAAGACACAGTAGGTTTTGGAGTGACAAACCCAAGGTGTCCCAGGGGTATGAACGGTACAGTTCTGTGGAGGCGAGGGAAAAGCTGACTCAATGCCTTGGCGTTCAAACCATACACAAAATAGCTCCATCTTCTGTGTCTTCCTTGCTGGAGGGCGATCCAGGAGATGAATGCCATGTTCTTGCTCTGTTTGCTTTACGGTATTTACATGTCTGTCTTGTAAAGACATGCTTGTGTCTGGAGGGCTGGGCCAAGGCTGTCCTTCCAGGGAGTGCACAAGCCTGAGGATGTGTCTCTTAAAATGCCACTGATCAAATGTGATGGTGCCAGATAAACCCTTTCAAGGGAGTTAGGAGGCATAACACTTGGGCACCACCATTGATGGCAGTGACGTGCTGCAGGCTGTGGCTGTTCCTTGCAAGCCTCCTGCCTTTCCAAGGTCTGGGACAGCTTAGCAGTCGGTTTGTAGGTGTTTCTGCTGTTGCTCTTTGCTACATCACACGTTGTTATTGCCCTTTAGAAGCTAGGAGAAGGCATCCAAAGGGTTGTCGACTTGGAAAACAGTCATGTTTCCTTTTTTCCCAGAAAAAAAAATATCTTTTTGCTTTTGAATTCAATTTTTTTTTTCACTGTGTTTCCTGTAAAGTTGTGTGTGATGGTTTTTCAAATTGGATTTAGGAAAAAAGAACCTTTTTCCTCCACCCCTCATTAGAGGAAATCATCTGCAGTTTGATGACCTGTTTTCATTTATTCAGGCACTTTTGAGAAATTCTACCTTGCCCAAGTACTCCGAAAAGCTCTGAAAAACAGTCCATTTTTTGAGATCATAGTTTTCTTTTTGTAAAATCCTACTCAGTTTGTGGATTAGTCACCCAAGTAACCTAATCCACGTGCTGAAGTTCTCATACAATTGAGAACCACCAAGTACAAGAGCTGATTCGGTTTTTACTTTTAACTGCCCTTCATTTCCTCACCTTGCATTTTTATTCTATTAAATGCAATACCCAAAGTAGTGATTTAACCCTTTGATGTCTGTTTTCTAAATGTACATGTACTTTTAAACCTGATGGTGCCAACCGCTACCCTCCTCACGTGTATTTGATTTGGAAGGGTGGTATTTGGGAGATCCTGCATGTAGGAGATGACTTGAGGACTTTGTCAGTGAGGGTTTTCCAGTGCAGACCTTCTGTAAGGTCTGGTTTAATTCTGTTAGGCTAAGGGCTAGAGCTGATGGTTACCCTGTACATGTTAGCATAAGGCTAAGGTGACCTGAATTTTAAAGTCTGTTCTGTTGCTTCTTTTTTCTTAACCAAGAATAACAGAGTTAATTGGCTACCATCCAGAGGAGCTGCTGGGCCGTTCGGCATATGAGTTCTACCATGCCTTGGACTCGGAGAGCATGACCAAGAGTCACCAGAACTGTAAGTCAAATACTTATTTGTCTTCATAGCTTGCACATAAAGCACAGCTTGCAGGTACCTCAATAAGCAGTTGGAGATACAAATGTGTGCCAGTATTCTCTGAGAACAGTATTTGCACTTGGTAACAAAACTTACAGGTCACTGTGCTTGTGTTGCTGAAACCTGCTGCTAATCTTTGCAAAGGGCCTGATTTTTGCCCTAGTTTAAACTTTGATGGTAGAGAGGAGAATGGCTGTCTCTCTGAGGGATAATACAAGGATCAGCTGAAAATCTGAGTTAGGCAGTACTGGCTTGGTGAGAAGGCTCTTTACTGGTGGTATTATCCTTCTAGTGTGCCGTTGGGCTCAGCAGGAAAGAGCAGCTGTAAAGGGTAATAGGAAGGACTTATTGCAGTGTAATTTTGAATGTCTGTCTTCTGCTACCAAATAACAACTGTCCTCCCCACCCAAAACAGATGTGCAAGGAGACTCTCTAAAAGGGATATTCATTATGCAAATAATATATACTGCCAGGCACAGCTGCTGCTTGTTATCCTTATGCCTATGGGAACTGCCAGTTTTAGCTGGTTTTAATGATGGTTACTGATGGGTTTACCTGAATTATTCTGGGAGCAGAAATCAGATCCAAGTTCGGCTCCCTCTTTTCAGCAGGCCCCGCAGTGTCTCTTGCTCACAGAAGAGTTCTTTGAATTAGTCAAGTTTTCAGTGTCTGTCCTTAGTGTTGGTGCTATGGCTGGAGACAACACGGTGCGTTAATGTGCAAATGACATTCCCACCCCTGGCTGTTTCAGCCATTGAGTAGTTACTGTATGCGAGAGTTCTAGGCAACAGATCGCTGAAGTGTCTGCTGCTGCTTTTATGATAGAAAACAAAGCAAAGCTCCTAGACTGGAGTCCACATGCTAAAAAATCCCCATCTTGTAGTTACTGTGATCAAGATCTCTGTCCTCGGGGGAAAAAGCCCATAACTTAGGTCACGTCTATAGGGAATCATCCACCAAATAGACTTACAGGAAGTATTTCTCTATTTCCCAGAGAAAAGTGGTAGCAAAGAATAACTGTGTGACCTTTAGGGGGAAAGGGAATATGCGTTAACTCCAATGGCAAGGATTCAGTTGAAATGTTGCTTGAAAGAATGTTTGGCAGTGATTAAAGTTGTGTGCTGCAAAACAGTGTTGGTATGAATCATCCTGTTTCCAGAGCTGCCTAAAAGAAAAAAGAAATCAAACCATACTTGCAGAGAGTTGTCTGGGAATGTGTCTGTTAAAATGGTTTCTTAGGTAATGTGTTTGTGTTTTTAACAGTGAAAAGGAATTGGTGATGTTCATAGACGGGATGTCTGTATCCTATGCTGGGCTATCTAGAGTCATCCTGAGGAATCAGGGGGTGTGCTGCACTGTTGCTTTTGACTTGTTGAGTTGCATTTCTAAGAATGGGACAATGCCAGGGAAGGAATGAAATGAGAGCTGACAATCTCTTTGGTAACAGGACAGGGATACCTTCATGGTTATCCCTATCTAGTTAATGAAGTGGGACCGCTGAACTGGGACTTGTCCATCTTGACCAGGAGTTGACTGAGGTCACTCCTCACTCTAGCCGTTTAACTCGCCTCATATAGTGCAAAGTGTATGTCTATATGCCGTTTGTGCTTACAGCGAAGAGCCGTGTCCTACAAGGTTTTGCTGTTGGGAATGAGGACTGATTGAGAATCAGAATGAAAGCAAGGGAAAGTCTAGAGGGGCGAGTTATACCAGCAGAAGTGCTCAAGGCACTGTGCACTGCACAGGTTATAAATATTTCGGATCAAACTGTACCATAGTGTTTATGATAGCACAGAGTCTTTGCTGTTGGAAGCACAGGACCAAAGTCTGTGCTGTGATAAATGCTGTTGCCGACAAGAGCCAGCGAATTTGACCCCTTTAGTTCTAAGATAAATACTTTCCATGTCTTCCGGGACAGTCGGGCTTCTTACCAACTCGGAAGAACCACAAAGGCAAAGTGACAGCAAGCAGTGACTTGAGAAGGCACACACAAGCCCTCCGAATAAGAAATCCCTAGGTTTTGTAATGTGTGCTGTTGAGAGCTTGTAACCAGGGTAACCAAGCAGGTATATAACTTATAGAGACCTTCCTAGTTCTTCCTAGCATGTAGCTATACAGAACTTTCAATCTTCCTAATCATGGCCATTTATACATGGAAATATCCACCTCACAGTTTGTGTTCAGCACACTTGTATTTATCAAATAATAATCTTCATTAGCAATAATTAGAAATAATAAAAATATGCTATGTATAGGGTATATATTCATTCAGTTAACACAGTCATCAATTCTGACAGTGCCAACCAGTTAGTGTTGTAAAGATTCACAGGAAATAGAGGGAGGAGACTGAAGTTTGAAGAGAGGGACAGAGGAAAACCTCAAATGAGTCTCTTGGTTAGAAGCAGAATGCCTTCCCTTTCTTTCCTTCTAATTTAGTGATAAATCATGCTTATTGCAACTTTATTACAACGCAGGGTTGTTATTTTGTATGTGTTATATTTATTATATATTTACTATCTATTTATTATCTAAAAATTATATATTATTATCATATTTATTATATTGGGTGAAATAACCTCACATTCAAGCAGGCAAGCAACAATGACATTTGTGTTCTTGGCTGGAAGTATAGTTGCATATAGAGTATAAGAGTCTTAATTAGTCACCATCAGATGGGAAGACTATAGAGTGCATTTGGCAGTATTTAGTTATCATACCCAACTTTTTGCATGTTATGCAAGCAAGATGAAAATCTGTCTTGTTACGTAAATATACACAAAAGGTTGACTGTAGAGCTGTACTGTCCAATTCAGCAATTAATAACCTATAATCACTTCCATTTAAGAGTGGCCTTATTGCCATTAAAGCCAATGGGAATTTTGCTGTTGACTTCAGTGGGGAGCTGAATGTCACCATCTGGACCTGCCACTTGGTAGCACTTAGCAGAAGTTTGCCAAGCCTTCCACGTGAATCATATTTCACAGGTCCTTGGCAATTGAAAAACAAGTTTTTGTTTGCCATTAAATTCATCCCTGCCTTTCCCCTTTTTGCACCCAAAGATAAGGAATATAATTGAAGCCTATTTCATTGAGATGTAATAATAATAGCTCTGTAAAGATACAGACAAGGTATGATTAAAAACAACCAAGAGAAAAAGAGTGAGAAGTTCACTCTGAAGGCAGAACCTTAAATGCAGCATTGATACTAATATGCTCCTAACTGCTGACTTTGTTAATTTATGAGATTACCCCATGGAGAGATTCTGCTGTACTTTATAGTATCAGAACATGACATGCTTTGAATAACAATCATAAAAAAGATTAAAGCAGTAAAAAGCTTCTTTGTAATGTAACAGGCGCCTACACTGTGACTCTTATTGATGAGCTGACGATTAGGAAGCAGCGTAATTATGTTTCACAAGCAGAGCAGAGCAGTCCAGTCACTAAAACACTCTGAAATGGAAGCCTTTTGATTTTGTTCCACCAGAAGTATTTAATCAATAGAAGTAATGTTCTACTTTGTCTAAATAAATTAAATGAAGGATGATTAAATACTCCTAGGAAGAAAACAAACTTCAGAGACACAAGGATAAACACAGCAACAATTATCTGCAAAACAGTTGTATTTCATGGGCCTGGATTTGTACATTTGTATGGTGGCAATGTAGGAGAGACTGGCAATAAATAGTTTCCCTTAAAGGCCACATTCACAGGAAGCTTTTCTGTATAAAGACTGCAGAATTGAGTTTCCAGCCCTACCGAGTCAAACTGCATTATTTTTAGGGCATTAGTTTGGTGTAAAACCTGTTTAAAAGGAAAGATTGCCAATGTGGTCAAAGGTTTAGCTGAGCCAGTTCCCCACTTTTGCTACTCAATACAACTACCTCTGCTCACAAATACCAGTTCTTCTTAGTACGAGTACTGCTTGCGTATTCCAGCCCTAATTATATTGCCATTGATCAACAGCGGTTTTCTTCAACTCGCACACTGTCACAGTCAGGATGTCGTAAAACTTCACATCTCAGAATTCCAAAGCTCCAGTGTCTTCAACTATTACAAAATATTGGAAGGGAGGTAGGATTTCACCCTTCAGACACCTAGATGAGGCTTTAAACCCGAGCTGTACCATTGTCAGTTTATTGCTTGAGAAACACGGGCCACTTCAAAAAGCATTTCAAGTTGGGTAAACATCATTTGGTTTGTGGCATGGCTCTTGGTTTCTTCTAGGCTGCTAGTTTCAAGCTATTGCAGAGGAACAACGCAGATCAAGCACATAGAGAATGCAGTAATTCAGCTTTTTTATTGTCCTAGGCAAAACTATCCCATTTACCATTCTTAAAAGAATATGAAACTTAAGCATAATAGTACTTCTTCAGCCTCTTAAGACCAGTGCTGTGCTAGTGGCACCTCCACTTTGCTTGTGATTTTGATGTCTCCATCTCTTAGCATTAAAGTATAAAAAGAGACATAAATATATAAAGTACAGATTTGTATAAAATATAGATGTATAGATTTATGTAAAATGTATTTATATCTATATTTATATAAAATACAGATTTAAACCATAAGATTTTTTTAATTTGAGTGTAGCTCTTAAATCATTCCGACTCTTGGGCTTATCCGGCACCTAAATAAGGGAAATATTAAATAGTTGCCTAAATAAATTCACCTTCTTACAGGTCAACTTTGGAGCTCAAACAGGCACACACTTCCAGAACAGGGACTCTCAGGAAACATGCAACCAGCAGGCATTATTCTGGGGGGGGCAGCTGGGGTCTTACGTTAAGAGTTTTTAAATCCCACCCTCTGCTCTGAAGACTCAGGCTATCTCAGGAATTCAAATGCCAGAGCTCAAATTTCCAACTTTGAGTGGAAACCTCGAATGAACAGCCCCTTGATAGTCAAGAGGGCTGAATTTTCCCAAAGTTGAGCATCCTTGATGACAAATGTGATAGGCAAAACTGCACTAATTAAAACTCGGGAGCGGGTTTGTTTAAAACAAGTGTTACTTATGGTACGTTCCTGTCCTGCTGAGTGATTTATATCTCTGTGCTTCCTTTTCTCAGTGTGTACAAAAGGTCAAGTAGTGACAGGCCAGTACCGTATGCTTGCCAAGCATGGTGGATACGTATGGCTGGAGACTCAAGGCACAGTGATTTACAATACACGCAACCTACAGCCTCAGTGTATCGTCTGTGTCAACTATGTGCTGAGGTAAGCCGTACGGGCCAGAAAAACCACGTATGGAATCACGTGCTGGGAGAAATGCAATAATCAGGAGGGTTTTGAAGGGTCTGTTTATCCAGTGTTGTTATTCTGACATCAGTTTAGTCATGTTGGTTCAGTCTTGTTTACTGATGTTAGACATCGATGAAGAATGTGGCATGTCTGCTCCTATGCATGCTGTTGAAATACACCACAGCCCTTCTCTTCTTCAGAGTGGCTGCTGTGCTAGTATGAAAGTATAAAGCCTGGGCTAAAGATTGTGTTGTGTAACATGACTGCTAATGTGTTTTGGTTTTCTAATGCTGTGTCAGAGACAGAAAATGAAGTAGTAATTGCATCTTATATTCCTAGGAGAAACTGTTTACTCCTCAAAAATCAGGGCCAATCAGGAGTTTTGCCTCTTTTGCCAAACTCGAGTAGTTTTGGTCCTAGATGGGGCCAAAATAGCAAATACTTATTTGAGTGATAGTCTGGGTCATTACAGCCTCTACTACATCCCTTCAAAAAGCAGTGCAACAAAGCCCTGACTATTCCCACAGAACTACTGACCACGGTCTCTGCCTCACCCGAGATGGTGGTGCTCAGCAACGCTGGAACCGTGCCTCGCCTGCCGAGAGCCTGGCATGCCACCCAGGGAGGCCAGAACGCTTGTACGGGCCCCAGCTTTAGAGCGCGCTTGCTGCCTACATTACTCGCATCTTTTTGTTTTTTAGAGTGCAAAATGCCTAAAACCTATTTTCTTGTCAGTGAAATTGAGAAGAACGATGTTGTGTTCTCCATGGACCAGACGGAATCGCTCTTCAAGCCTCACCTGCTGACGATGAGCACCGCCTATGAGAGCGGCATCCCAGCGACAGAGAAGAGTGACTTCTTGTTTACTAAGCTAAAGGAGGAACCAGAGGAACTGGCTCAGCTGGCACCAACACCCGGCGATGCCATTATTTCCCTGGATTTTGGTTAGTATTTGTATAAATAATTTTTGTACAACAAAGAGCCGTGTGTGAGCCTACATTTATAGAAACTTTATAATAGACAAGGTCTGTTTGCTGTGCGCACAGACTGGGAGTAGTGTCTATAAGAGCCCACATGCTCACACCAGTGGAAAATTTCTGTGAATGGGAGCAGATTCAGGCTTTCTTGCTGACTAAACAACACGCATTAAGTCTATGCCAGCTTATTGTCATGGCAACTAGGAACAGTGTTTACTTTTAATGAATAGCTGCAATTATATCATAACACAGACAAGCTAAAAGCGTTCATTAATATTGTTAAAACTCCATCCAGGGACACAGAAGTTTGAGGAAGCCCCTGCCTTCCCCACTGCTGTATTGACGCCAAACAAAGCATGGCCAGTGGAAGTGAAAAGCCACGCTGCTCAAGGTGAAACGCTGACGATACCATCCTTTACAATGCCTCAGATTGCACCTGGCAACAGTACTCCAAGTGCAAGCAGTAACAGTAGCTGTTCCACGGTAAGAGGAGCTATAAAAATAAACGCATGTTATATTGTGTATGTAAGTCCCATCAATATATGTAGATGATGTTTTCATCTTAGCAGTCCTGTCTCATTCCTTATTAACAGGGACAAGTGTATCTATATCCCTCCTATACTGTGTATATCTTAAGCACCAGAAGCAAAAACATCAGATGGGAACTATATTCTGCCTTTACATTGCAATCCTCTTTCTTTCAGCTGTTCCTCAGTAATTACCATAACTTACAAGACAAGTTATAACAACATGCTACCTTTCATGAGTTAGCCTTAAACAAAAAGCTATTGTAAAATCATGTTGTCCCTAGCACCACTGTCCCAGAGCCCTCCTCTTTCTGTTCGTTACCTAGAAGCTAAAGTCTTTAGAAAGCTTACCCAGCTCAGGCTTTTGAGAACAGTTCCATTGCATTCCCCACTGAAAGAATGAATGTGTTTTCAGGGCATTGCCCCCAAGGTCTGGAGCCACTTCTGGTTGGCCCTTTACTAAAGGATGTCCAGCAATAAGAAAGGCATTGAGGTATTGCTGCACATCTCCCTTCTTGACAAGAGTATTTAATAGCGTACATTTCATGGTTCTGGTCTGAGCTGCCAAAAAAAACCCCAAACCATTTAAACCAAGAAGATAACTAGGTTCTTGTATTGGGTGTCTGTTTTGTAGTGACCAGTAGTGTTCTCCAAAGTGTATGATAGAAGCAGACAGTTTTGGGTTCTGAGGACACTATGTATACAGTCTGGCCATTTGCTTTTCATAGGGAAGATCCATTACTGAACAGTGCAGTATAAACAGCATAATGCTAAACCAATACCGTGGTTGTCTTGCTGCTTATAGCAAATTCTTGTTATCTCTGTGCAGCCAAGCAGCCCAGGAGATTATTACAGTTCTGTGGATGAAGATCTGAAGATTGAAGTGATTGAAAAACTTTTTGCCATGGACACAGAATCAAAAAGCCAGTGCACCTCACAGGTAAAGAATTAATGTCTCTCCCAACAGCCGTAAAGATCAGTCCTCTGCTAGCAGGTGACACAGACATAGTGATATTACGCACTAACTGCACTTGCACATATACATCAAAGCTTTGATGCACAACACTAAAATTCATTCACTTTCAAAAGCTGGGGTGTAAATTTCTATCCCTAACTCTGAAGCAAGTGTTTTAGGCTGTCACTGTGGTGGCACTGATAAAGCTCTCTGTTGCTGCTTGTTTTCCTTATCCAGTCTACAGAAGCTTCCAGATTCTTAAGAGAAAAAAGGCAGCAATTTCTTTTAACCTAGCCTAATGACGAGAGTAACAAGTAAACATCCTTCCTAGAACAAAATAAACTAATTCTTGCAACACATTAAAATGAGAAAGGAATGTCCCTCCATAGCACATATCTCCTTTAACTACAAAATGCAAACTGGTGTAAGTGTGGAAATTCCCTCTACAAATAAACTAATCCATTATTATAACGTTGCATCAAGTGAGCTAGTGAATAAAAGGTGTAGGCCTGATTTGGCCCATCTAACTTTAGATAATTAAAATGCCTTTGTTAAGAGCTTATACTTTTTTATATACAAACTGGCTGGCAGCTCAGACCTTGTACTCTTCTCCTTCTATTAATCCTATGGAAAGTTTGGGGTGTCGGGGCCCAAATGAGGTGCCTCCATTTGCCAGTGCAATTTGCAGACTTAGGTAGGCTGTCATCCATGTCCTGAATAAATTTCATCCAAGTCTGGACATAAACAGCAATGAAAGCTGTTTCAATAATAGAAAGAGTGGACAGAGAGGGGGAGAAATGTGGAGCATGATTAAACTGAGTGCAAGACTTGACATTGCAGACTTCAGTTTTGTCAGGTTCAGCATCTGCTTGCTCCCATCACATCAGCAGCTGTGGTGGGAAAAATGAGCCTTAGAAACATACACCTGTCATGAGCTGACTGGTGAGCCAACATTGATTTCCCTCTCTGTTCAGAGGCCAAGAGGAACGTGCTTAAATAAGACTAGTTCTCCAGGGGAAAAAAATACATGGATTTAAGTGCAGTAGTGCCATCTGACTAAGGGTTTTTTTAAACATTTGCATTTTTTAGATGCATTTTTTTCTGTAGCTGGATTATGAGGAAGCTCCATTTTCTATTTTAGCATGTAAAAGCCTGAGGTTGAACTGCACACCACATGTTGTGGAGTCTTGGCAGACAAATTATTCAAAACATACTGAAACACAAGATCTACTTCAGATCACGCTGGTGCTGCAGGCTGCAAACAAGATGCTTTAGCAAATACTGCCTAGCTGGGAGGGGTTTCTTCTTCAGGTTGTTGTCTTTGCTACTGATGCCATGATGAACAGGTGTACTAGTCACAGAATTAAGGCATGTTCAAGGAGGAGTTGGCTGGTTTCATATGGGTAAATTTGGCATCAGTGATTTTTCTGCTTCACATCTACATGTATTCCCTGTCACACTAACTGCCACAACCATTATAAACCTTTATGAACTTTATTTTTGTGCAGACTGACTTCAATGAACTGGACCTTGAAACCCTGGCTCCTTACATTCCTATGGACGGAGAAGATTTCCAGCTCAGCCCAATCTGCCAAGAAGACCGTCCTCTCTCTGAAAGTGCACAAAATACCCAGCAGAGTCTAAGTAGCATGAGTACCATCTTCCAACCCCTTGCTTCTGCTTCACAGAATCAGTTTCTCCCGGAGAAATACTGTCCGCAGCTATCAAATAAAAAAGTGAATCCTGGTCGTGGGTCCCTGTCATCGGTGTTCTTCAACAATATGAGCAGGTCATCACTGCCACCGTACCATGACCAAGCCAGCACTCCCTTGTCTTCGATGGGAGGAAGACCAAACACACAATGGCCACCTGATCCCCCATTAGAATACATCCCTTCTAAATGGAGACTCATGGATAAATACTCAGGATCCCTATCAAGTTCCCCCTCAGGACCACCAATACATTCTCCAAATATGCCCATATATAAAAAAAGGTAAGAGTTTCTGTGGTATATCTATTTATTTTACTAAGAAAAGTGTGGGAGGGGAGATGAGAGGGATCATAATATTGACTAATTCTTTTTCTCAACTCAGCTGGAATAGCTGTTTTGCTAGGCATCAGACTGTGCCTCTGGGGAAGTCAGTGTGGTGCTCTCCCAGTAGCAGTCAGTCTGGTGGAAGCAGAAGTGGGGTAATTTTTCATTGCCTGTAAGGACACACAAATGAACTTTCTGCTGGGCAAGTAAGCATTACCCCAATAATTTTGCACAACCTCCTTTATGCAGCTGAAGAGAGGTACTGAAAAGGCTTTCCTGGGCCAGCAGTAAGCTGTGACATATACATGCTTTCTTACCTTGCCTTTTTTTTTTGCACAACAGAAAACAGGGGAGAGGAAGAGATGACAGTACACTTGGCATTGGTTTATGGAAATGCTACAACTAAGATTTAAAATTACAGGCTTTTTTTCTACAGCCCTTCCTTACCTTGTTCGCTTTCTTACGCACGTGAACAGTACATGATGAGATGTAGATCAGAGGCCACAGTCCTAGAAGCTTCGTATGATAGCTGGTAGCTTCTCTGTAGCTCTTGGGTCCTCAGTGTTGAAACAGGCAGGAAGTATGTCAAATGGCAGTCATAATTTTAAAACATGAAGCTGTGCAGCTTGCCTAGTTTGCATTCTGGGATTTCTTGTTGGCAGAAATACCAGTATCTGAATATGCATCTGTAAAGAGAGGGTTTGTCCCCAAACAGCAGCCTACGTGTTTGTATTTAGTATGTAAAGCAAGGGGACAGGTGTGGCTCTCAAAATCCTCGCCTTAAAAATCACGTGACTTTCTTTTCCACAGCATCTTTGTGTCTGCCTGGAGATCCCTAGAGGCTGTTTATGTTAGACTTTCATTAGCCCTTGATCCCAAGAGTCAAAAGTTTCCAAAGCTTGTAGGATGACTAACAAAAGGAAGTAAAACATTTGGGATTTGAGGTCTGTCCACTGCCATGTGTCTAAAGACACCTTAAATGTCTTTAAATGAAAGAATTTATAGAAGTGACCAAGATCGTATAGATTTGCCTCCCTGCTCACTCACCCAGAGATCTTTACTCCACAGGCCTTTGGATGCTTTTGGGCAGCGAGGCATAGATGTAAACCCAGCAAGAATTGCTCTGGCTAACAGTTTGAAATTGAAGCGGCAACTGGATTATGAAGAACAAGCGTTACAACAGCTGAGTGGGGTAATAAGAAATACATCTCCTTCACAAGCTTCGGACTCACCGTGGTCATCGGTGTTGATTATTTGGTTTGCTTTCCTTTGCGTTCTAGGGAGATCCATCTGTCATTAATTCATCTCACCTCATGTGGAAGAGAATGAAATTTCTCAAAGGGGAAAACTGTTCCTTGGTTACAGAAAAGAAATCTCTCAGCACAAGTGTTCTTACTGGTAAGACAAAAGAGAGTGGTTTTGCGATGAAACACAATTTTAAGAGAGGTTGAATAGGAAATTAAGCTCTTTCAAAAGGAACTGTAAATAAGCTCTGTAAATATGACATTAAGCTAAAATTAAAGATCAAGTTGTATCACTAAGAGTTGAATAATTTCAGGTACATTTAATAAATACCAGGTAGATGGTTTCATGTATGTTCGCATCCTTGCTTTGGATGTAACAGATCAGCTTAATGGAGATGGTCTGGCTTCATGCTGATTGGAGATGCAGACATCTCAGAGCTAATACACACAAGCATATCTTGTACAGTAGCTCTATTACACAATTGTACAGCTAGTGCTGTTTGTGGGCTTCTTTTGTGACAAGCTGTAGGTATGCCCACACTGTGACCATCACAGCAAGGATCACTTTGCTCTGAATTAATATTATCTATTAATTATTACACTACCTTAACCTTTTTCTTCCCCCCCCCCCCCTTGTGTAAATCAGATGAATTTGTCTGTAATTCGAGGGGCCTGAGCCAGCCAATGAATCAACTACAGCAGCAGCAGCAACAACAGCAGCAGCAACCAACCTGTGGCAGTCCTGGTGAGAATTTGAAAGCAGGAGCATTTCCCCCTCCGTTTTACAGTTCCCATTGTCAGGACTATGCTGTCCAGCCAGCTCATAAAGTGTCAGGTAAGAGCTGTCAAATACAGAAGTAGGAAAATGCTAGTACTTAGTTCCAATGCTGATTTTATGGAAAAATACACCTAAAGAATTATGGAGGAGGCTGATAAACTAAGAACCAAAAATGTATTGTTTCATAGCATGAGAAAATAGTTCTGTTGTTTAGTATGAAACTTTAGTGATTACATTTGTTAAAGACATTTTTGTACTTTATTTCAGTTAAACTTGACTTTTTACCTTCAGGGTTGAGTCATCCTCCATCCATACTCTTGTCTTGTGATACAATTGATTAAACTGTACTAAGCAACTTCACTGCAGCATTGATACAGGAGTTTTGTAGCTTACAGTCTTGACAGCCTTATAAAAGTTAAGTAGTTAAAGGGGACATACATACATGTCCCTTTTAATATACAAGGGGAGTGAGTGTCAATTTATAAACTGTCTTTACCACAGCTTTCCTCATCTGCACCAACATAATTTTTCTCAGAGCAATGTAAATCAGGGGTAGACGTGAAAACTTGCACACGTCTGTGTGACATGCTTGCAACAGCTGAAGGCAGAGCCAGGCATAGGTTTGCTCTGAAACCTGTAACTGCTGGTGGTTTGAGGTGTATTGATATATAAACAAAATGAAATAAAAACTGATATAAACAGAAGAAGGATGAGAGGAAATAGTCTCAGCACCGTGCCTTACTTGTCTAATCTCTTCCAGGTATGACCAGTCGGCTGCTGGGGCCTTCCTTTGAACCCTACTTGTTGCCCGAGTTGACAAGATATGACTGTGAGGTGAACGTCCCCGTTTTGGGCAGCTCTACGCTTCTGCAGGGCAGTGAACTGCTCCGAGCGCTGGACCAGGCAACCTGAGCAATCCTGCAATATTCCGTGGCCTATACTGTTCAAAACGGCTTGTTTTTAAATATATTTTTGCAAGTAGACAATTTCTAATACAGATACACTTTTACAGGATTTTACTTAGATATTGAACCTGTCCACGTTACCAAATAGTGGCCTTTTGAAGTTACTCACTTTATTATTCATATTAAAGAAATACATCTACTGTATTTTCTCTATTGCAATTAAAGTGTTGTTTAGAGAGTTTGATTACCCTCCCCCTTGTCTCATGACCTGTAATTTATATGCTGAAATTTTCTGCAAATTTCATGCTGATAAAAAGCTGTGGTATAAATGCCTCATTCTGCAATGTACTTTGGCTGCAGTAGTGCAAAGATTTCTTTTTATTGCCAAAGATGAATGAAACAAATTTGATCTCCAACCACAGCTTTTTGTTGATCTGCCAAATTGAAATCTTCTGAGTCTTTCTGTTTTCCAGCATTTATTGTATTGTAACTTTAATAACTTTTGGAAGGGTATACTAAGGAAAAATCCCAGCCTTCCGCCTTCTCCCCCTTCCTTTTGTTTTTATACTTTTTGTTGAAAGAAATGTGAATGGTGAACTGCAAATGTTTGTGGGTATCTGTGAAAGTTGCACGTTGTAAGCTTTTTTCCTCAAGAAGCAAGCCACATTCTCAGCTGCCTTAACCTGGCTTAGCTCTACAGCCAAGGGAGTCCTACAAATTTACCCCAGTGGAGGATTTAGACCTGTGATTTCATTTGTTTGGGGTTTGGTTTGTTTGCTTTGTTCTTTCCTTTCCTTTTTAATTTCTCTCTGGGTCAGTTGTTGATCATCTCTTGGTACTTTTGCTGTATCTTAAGAGCTGTTTCTGATAAAACTAGTAGTATTTGTTATGGTGTTGCTGATATTTCAGGCATCTGACCAGCAGGCCAGCACTAACCCCTCTGATTAATGTTACACTTCTACCATCTTATATGCTAGCTAGCAATATAATTGCAGTATTGAATCATTAAAACTAAGTAATATTTCCCAGGCTATTAGGCTAACTCAGTTATAAATAGACAAAAAGAATTAAGGATTGTATAGCAAGATGAATAGCTGGCAGGCAGGTTTGTATCATTTTTACTTGCCTTACATTAATCGGTCGTTGCAATGTCATTAAAAGGTAGCCAGACATTTCGGAGCTCTTTTCCAACTACCATTAAAAAAAATAAGGCTTTGAATGCATTCAAAGGCAAAGGAATTCTGAAGTTTGAATTACAACATATTTAAAGAGCAAAAACACTGAAGTAATAAAAGGCAGGTGAGCAGTTCTGACTTAAAATACATACAGACCTAGATCGATGTTGGCATATACCATCTTGTTTCCTCCACTGGTATAAATCATTGTAGCTTCATTGAAGAAAATGGAGCAGTGGCAACGTACAAAAGGTAAAAATCTGGCCTAGAACCTTAGAACAAAGATATGTTCTTTTGAGACTTCCGATTGCGCTGAAGCCTGGTTGATAAAATTGCTTTATATCATGCACTGACACTTGCAGGGAGGGAGCCTTGGGTTCATAGAGCACTTCAGAGTTCACTGTGTTAAGCAAGTCTTAACCACACAAGAAAAGCTTAAAATCTTTTGCTATTGATACATAATATAAAAAAATCTGGTAGTCCTTATTGTAGACAATGTTTTGAGAGTTTATTACCAAAAATAATCTGCTCCTAAAGTAAAGTTATTACCATATGGAAGAATATATTGTAGGCATCAAAACCTGATTAAAATTGGCAAGCCAGCTTTGACAAAGGTGTAGTGGCAAGGACTTAATGCTTCAAGGATTAAAGACACTTGAATCCCGCTCTGTTTCTTATTTGTGTAGTTGCAGCATTAAAAATGTTATACCCTAACAGTTTACTAAAACACTCTGAAAAATTATTCCATGTCTTAATATTAATCATACTTTTTATCATAATTATTTCATAATCTATATTGCTGAATTCTTATTGACAATATTATAACTGTATGGGAACTTTAACTTGATAAGGAAATGTATTTTGACACTGATACCTTATTAAAGTATACTGATCCTAAATTCTTTGCGACTCGTTTGCTATGAATTTGTTATTTGTTGTATCATTGTAAAACAAAAGTATTTATTAAATTATTTATAGAAAATAAAGGTTTGCATTGATCTTTGAAGACTGAAAGAATGAACAAAAGTTACCTGTGTTCGAGAGCTGGGAAGTACCACCAAGCTGTTTGAAGAGTTTACCCAGCTTTCCTCAAACGGAGAATTAATGCCCTGCAGGCCACCCTTCTGAAACACATCCTGTGGTCCAGACTGCTGCTTCCATTTCCTAAGCCTGTTTCTGTCTGAGGATTTGCAGGTGCCTCTTGCATGTTACCCTTAAAAGAAAAAAAACATGGACAAAATTACATTCTAGAGGCTGAATTGCAGCAGTTCCCTACTTCAGTTCCTGTGTCATAACCTGTCTTATTCTGGCAATCCTCAAGCCCTCTGCTTCACACCCCCCATCACTTTACCCCAGTACTGTTGCTAAACATGCCAATCCTTTTCTCTGCAGAAATTACTGCTTTTGCCTATAGAATCACAGAATGATTTAAAGATCATCTAGTTCCAACACCTTCCACTAGACCAGGTTGCTCAAAGCCCACCTTCTCTGGGCAGCCTGCACCAGCATCTTGCCACCCTCACAGGAAATTACTTCTTCTGAATCTAAATCTACCCTGTTTCATCCTAGAGGCGTTTCCCCCTTGTCCTGTCACTACCACCACTGTTGACACTGTAGGAGGACAGACACATCAAGAAATTCATCTCCAAACATGCACTTAAATTCAGACTGGACTCTGCAGCAGCTGTTGGTGCTTGACCCTTCTGATAACTGCCTTTGAGCCATGCAGTGGCCATAAAGACACCACTGAGCTGCTCAACAGCAACGAATCTCCTGAATAACCTGCATTAAGTGGGCTATCATCCCCTCCTTTTCTAGATGGGATGCTCAGGAGGCATAGAAAGTAATTGCTTGCTTCTCAATCTGTTGTAAATAGCAGTAGTCACACAACACCCAGCAGTGAAGAGTGAATAGTGGTGTGCCTCTTAATCTCCTTTTTAAAGCATCCTCTTGATCTTCAGGGCGCTTGGACAAAGACTAACGCAGCATGCCAGATCCTAATCCAACTGAGGGTTAAAAAAAAAGACAACCAGCCCACCTCCTAAATAGAGATTAACCTGTTCAGACCACTTTCAGCCTTTTACAGGTTGTAATCACTAAACTGCTAAATATAAAACAATGATGCAAGGCATTTTTGGGGGGACCCAAACATAGCATTCGGGGGGGGGGGCTGGAAGCTCCTCAGAACATGTTCAAATTGCTTAAGGAACACACTAGTCATGCCTTCAGCAGTGATATTTTTTCCCCTGTCTACAGCTCACTGTTTCTCACCTTAGTGTTTTTCCCTTACCTATCTGGACATGGCAATTTACATATCTCAAAGACCCAAACCCTGGTCAGAACCATAATACACAGATTATATCAACAACCAGGTTTTGTTCTGCTGAACAAGGATTTATTACAGCTTTCTAAAAACTTTCATTTCCTCTCCCAGATGACCAGCAGAAGTGCTTATAATTAAGCATGCATCATCTCTCACTGCCTAGAAGCACCATTTCTTGGCATCAGACCTTGTATCTCTAACAGCACAGCACCCATCCCAACTCTGTTGTTCAACTCTCATTACATTGTGCTGAAAAACCAGGCAGTTTTGCCAAGCCCTCATAGCTTGGGCTGGTCTCAGTCTCTGGCCGATTTTCAAGTCGTATCGTCCTTTTAAAATGACCAACACAATGCTTTTTCTAGAGCACAGATTCCAAGCAGGCAAGAGTCATGCTGTTACTGAACAAATGATAACAACCAACTGCAGGAAAGTCTCAAGATCCTGGTATATATTGCGATTACTAATTAAAACTGCAAAGAAAACCCCAGATAAGTTGGAGGGAAGTCCAGCTATCATTTCAGCCAAGACACCAGTCCCTAAGCAACACAGATCTGTGGACAGTAGGTGATTCATCATGCTTGCAACAGTAGGCAGAGACATGAAAATTCTCTAACACACAACTATTCCAATTCTAGATGAAGGTTTCATGCGTTACTTCTCCCTGAGGAGCTTTATAAAGCTATTTACAGACATGCCAGATACATAAATAAATCAATCAAAGAGCTACAGTGGAGAATGGAAATATTCACCTACATTGAAATAAACAGCATTGTGTTCTTCCTTTCTTTCCCCTCCAACTCTTAGTATAGGCTTCCCAAGAAAGGAACAAACAACATCTGGAAAGAAAGAAAACCTTAACTCTATTTTCTTAAGGCAACAAGAATCTGTCACAAGCCCCAGTTCTGCCCCCTTCGGACAAGCCAACACACAGCACACAACAGCTGCCTTTTGGTCATCTGGGGCTGTGTCCAAGCTCACCCATGCCCACAGGGAAGGCAGGCTTGGATTCCTGCTTGCCCAAGCTCCGTTCGTTGTTGTTGCTTTCCTTGGCCAGTTCAAGCTGCAAAAGCATGGCAGGAAGGCTGTAGCAGTTGGTATGTACCCCATTTTTGGGGTGCTCACATTAAAACTGGCTTCAAATTAAAAAGTGCTACTTTTTTAGCTACTCAGCTCAGAAGCACCATCACCGTTCCTTTTGTCTCAAAGCCAGCCTGCGGTTCTGGCAGCTTGGGATGTGCCAGAGGTCTCACATGGAACATTTTCCTTGAAGGAGTCCTCAATTCCTGTAATCAAGGAGTTACTTAATTCTCTTCAGCCACGCCTCTCAGTTAGTAATGGGGTTAAGATGCCTCACCAGGGAACTGAAGCACATGCATAAACCTGGCTTGTGAAGCCTACCTGCAAGCCAGCTCCTGTGCCTCTGACACTGGACAGCACCAGGCAGCTGGAGGCAACAGCAGCTGCATCCCCCCCTCCTGTGCTATCATCTGCCGTGGAAACTGCTGCATCTTAACCAGAGTGCCTGTGCTTATGCTTGGGGAGCATCTCAAAAGCACAACTCCCCTTAGCTTCATTACAGCAAGAGAAGTAAGAAACTCCTCAAAGTCCCTGGTTGAAAAGTACATATTTAGACCTTGGAATTACAGGCAAATCTGGCACGTGAGATCCTCAAAGGCAATTGCACCAGTAAACACAAGTGAAACCCCCAGTTATAATAAATTATATGATTTCTAAGCTAATGAGTTGAGTTCTGCGTGTTGGTCTTTGAAGGATGGGCACTGGCTGGATTTTGCATGAAAAAGCATTATAACAACAGCTCCTGTGACTGAAACCCCGTCTCCCCATAGCACTGGCAAAGGCAAACAAACAGCTGCCTCTAGTGCAGAAGGCACCTCTGTCAAGCATTGCCTTCCCCAGGCACACTGGTGTCACCCTCTACATGTAGTTCCAGAAGGACCGTGGGTCCTAGAGAAACCACAGCTTGTTCATCCATCGAACACGAAAAGTCCTCTAGTGTCTCAACAGTTGAACACGCTTCTTGGCTGCATCAAGCAACCTTTATTGCCTAGTCTTCATTCCTGGCCTTTTCCTCAGCTAATAGATGTCTGTTTCCATTTGCTACTCAAGCAAGTGATGGTGGGGTATGGATGAAAAAGGTTCTGCTGGCTCACAGACAGTACCTCTTTCATCATCCCCCTGACACTGCGCTTCAAGCAAAATTCTAACACATTTCAGATGTACATATAGTTTCTCGTGCAGTTCTGGAGAAGAGAGCAGAATTGAGCAATTTCCCCAGACAGCTGAACTCTGTAAAGCCAGAACAATTTCCCAGCCATAAGAGGAGCAGAGCAGTATGGGCTTGCTCTTGTAGTCATATCAGCACCATAGAGCTAACACTGGTGGGAGGGGAATCCAAGTTTCTTCTTCCCCAAAACTTCTCCCTGTGCAAATAACTGCATGTTCTGGACAAAAATTAAGCCAGAGATAGAGCTACGTACACTTGTTAAAGCACTTCCAGATGCTGCTATGTGCTTGACAGACACAAACAAGCTCACTTAGGGCGCTACTTGTGAGCACAAGCTTATCCCTTGGTATTTTCAGCCCTGGGCAAGCCTTATGCATTCATTCGCACCAGAGCTTGGCTGTTCAGAACTTGGAGAACACCAGGGTGCCCCAGAGGAGAGTGACCTGCAGGGATCTCCGTCCAGTTACACCCATAAGACAGAAAACACAGAGGTTAACACTCCTGCAGGCCAACTAAAACCCATTCATATGTCCACCAGAAAGAGTGATCACGATGCCACTTCAGCAGAGTTTTACATAGGGAAGCTCTTCCTGAAAACAACAGGGATGTATCTTCCCGGTTACAGCCGTTTACACAACTGATTTGTCTAGTGGAAAAAGTCCAGCAGCTTTAAAGCCTTGCTGTCTATTTCTCAAGATGCTGGTAAAGGCCAGGTCTGAGATGGAAGAGAAAAGCACAAAAAAGCTACCCACAGCTGCCAAAAACCCAAACCAAAGGCCACACAGCTCCCTGGCTTTATTCTGTTGCAGAAGTTGTGTCAACTTTGAAGTGGCATACTACAAAAGTGCCCCCCTATGATGAGCCTTAAGATCAATCCAGATATATGCAACTGTAGTTCCTCCCCTCCTCCACACAGCAGCACCAAAACAGTGTTGCACTGGATCAAGTGAAGCATAAAATCGATGTCGTCACCATCCATTTTTAGACGCACTGCATGACATCCATTGGCTTTTTTTCCTGGAAGAGCCAGCAACACTAATTGTGACCATCGCCTCTCTCTGCTAACACAGTGCTGTCCTTAACTGCAGCCCCCAAAACACACTGGAGTTCACAGAAAGCAATCCAATGGAAGTTGACTGGGAAAACAGGTTGACCCCTGTTATGTTCGTTTTATCTGTAAACATCAAGATGTGCTTTCCCATGCCTTGCTCAGCTAAAGACGTGCTTGTAGTTTTTAGCATATCTACACCTTTTAACACAGGCTGTTGTTCATACCTTCCATTTGTTTACTCTTTAGTCAGATTGAGTGCACAGTATCACCGCTTTTAGGGTCAGTCTGATCACCACAGGAATCTCAAAGATAAAGGAAGCACCAACACTGAATACTTCAATTTCTGGTCAACCTTCTCAACACCTCT